CCACTACAGTAAGCACATCTTGGCGCAAACTGCTCATGGTAATCTCTCTCGCAGAAAGGCCTTCCATCTCGTTCAAAGAAATTAGTGGCTCCTAATGGCACTTCACAAGTAACACAAGTGAAATGCTCAGGATGCCATGTGCGACCCAATGCAGTGCAAACCTGGCCGATGATTGGTTTGCTGCATGCTGCACACTCTCCTTTCTTTGTTGTGCTGACTCCTTGTCTTGTCATGTCTGTCTGAAGTGAACCCAGCATGGAGTCTAACTGACTGACTTTGCCAACAGTAGCTGAGGAAAACAAGAATATATTTTTTCTTATCTGTTTTCAAACACTTTCCTTGATGTGTTTATCCAGAAAACATCTATATCCCCCATGGTTCCAAGGATTTATGGTTTTGAAAAACCCCAACCCCTCATGAAATTCAAGTTCAGCTTCAAATTTGCCTTTTGAAACCACTTGTCTTTTGAGATCTCTCATCTCCTGCAATTTCCAATGACCTTCTTTGCAGTGGGTATGGATATTTTCTGGAACTGTGATAATGTGATTGACAATTTTGGTAAAATGATCAAATGTCACACTATTTAAAACTGTTCTGTCGCAAACAAAATCATAATGACAAAGTTGTCACGCCCAACATCCTGAAATCGCATCACAAACAAGTCAAGTCGTATGAGTGTTACATTTAACACTCACAAGCAACAATCATTACATTAAGATTGACCCCCCACATGTTAGTCAATTTGTGCTGAACTATTGAACTATTAATAGCAATCTCAAATTCTGTCTGTAATCCAACTTTAGTAACTACAATTTTCAATAAAGTGAAATAAGGCTTGGCAGAGAGCAGTTAGTAATTAAAACGTAAGGTATGCATCAGTACAGTAGCCCATAAAGCCACTAGGAGTATTCCTCCTCCTCCTCCTCCCGCAGCCCCCAAACCCCCATGGATCAGATGCTAATCCATCACAGGGTTACCCCCAGCAATAAATTCGCTAGTACCAATTCATACACCTGGGTAGAGAGAAGCACCATGTGTCTTGCCTAAGCAGGGCAGGAAAACATTTTGAAATCCAGTTGCCCAGTGGGCCAGTAGATTTCAGTTTTCAGTTGCACCTACTAAAATATCACTTACCCAATAGGAATGCAATGTTCATGCCTTATCAACTACATCATTTACAAGGTACTGTTTATAATCAGTGATAGACNCCAATGCAGTGCAAACCTGGCCGATGATTGGTTTGCTGCATGCTGCACACTCTCCTTTCTTTGTTGTGCTGACTCCTTGTCTGGTCATGTCTGTCTGAAGTGAACCCAGCATGGAGTCTAGCTGACTGACTTTACCAACAGTAGCTGAGGAAAACAAGAATATACTTTTTCTTATCTGTTTTCAAACACTTTTCTTAATCCAGAAAACATCTATATCCCCCATGGTTCCAACAATTTATGGTTTTGAAAACCCCCAACCCCTCATGAAATTCAAGTTCAGCTTCAAATTTCCCTTTTGAAACTACTTGTCTTTTGAGATCTCTCATCTCCGGCCATTTCCAATGACCTTCTTTGGGGTGGGTATGGATATTTTCTGGAACTGTGATAATGTGATTGACAATTTTGGTAAAATGATCGAATGTCACACTATTTAAAACTGTTCTGTCGCAAACAAAATCATAATGACAAAGTTGTCACACCCAACATCCTGAAATTGGATCACAAACAAGTCAAGTCGTATGCGTGTTACATTTAACAGTCACAAGCAACAATCATTACTACTGTAAAGATTGACCCCCCACATGTTAGTCAATTTGTGTTGAAACATGAACTATTAATAGCAATCTCGCATTCCGTCTGTAATCCAATTTTAGTAACTATGATTTTCAATAAAGTGAAAAAAGGCTTGGCAGACAGCAGTTAGTAATTAAAACACAAGGTATGCATAAGCACAGTAGCCCATAAAGCCACTAGGAGTATTCCTCCTCCTCCTCCTCCCGCAGCCCCCAAACCCCCATGGATCAGATGCTAATCCATCACAGGGTTACCCCCAGCAATAAATTCGCTAGTACCAATTCATACACCTGGGTAGAGAGAAGCACCATGTGTCTTGCCCAAGCAGGGCAGGAAAACATTTTAAAATCCAGTTGCCCGGTGAGCCAGTACATTTCAGTTTTCAGTTGCACCTACTAAAATATCACTTACCTGATAGGAATGCAATGTTCATGCCTTATCAACTACATCATTTACAAGGTACTGTTTATAATCAGTGATAGACTGTAATAAAATGAGCTTTCTGGTACTGAACTAGGTGAAATATACTGGACAGTGACACAAATGTTGTGTCAGGTACAGAGTAACCACTGGTATTACAGTACCAGTAGTTACTCAGTGTCTGTGTCACTGCACAGAAGCTGGGGTAAAGGTGGAAGAATGCCAGCTTGATCTTGTTCTCTATCATTATCTGCCACTGCTACTGAGACTACTGAGGCTAATTTGACTTGCCCATTGGACCACCAAACTTCCATTTTCACTTGCCCAAGTGCACAATAATATTTACTTGCCTAGAACAATTGGACCTGGGTTTTTTCCTACCCTGCTAAGAACACAATACAATAACCCTGGTCAGGGCTCAATCCTGAACTTTTATACGCAGAGACCAGCATGCTAACCATCACACCAGAGTGCCTCCCTTAAAGTTAGTACTAAAACTATTACTGGCACATAAGTGAACATAATTTTGATTCACACACTAACCAGGAGTACTTGGAGGTTTAGCCTTGTTAGGTTTTGCATAATCTCCACTGAGTCTCGCTTGTGACGGAGTGGGTGCTGCATTAACATTAACTTTAAAATCTGATAGAGATGCCATCAAGTCATCAAGCTCCTTGGTTGCTGTTGATGCTGTACGTGACTGCCTGTTGTCAAAATCCCTGGTCTGCTGCAGTTGACCACGCAAGGGAATGGGAGAAACAACTTGAGCTGTGGTCACCTGGCCTTTGGGGCTCTCGGGTCCATTTCTTTCTCCATAACGTGAATCAGCTAAAAATAAATAAATTCACTAGTTTTTGTACTAACAGCACTGAACCCTTAGGTCAAAAATAGATCTTTACAGCTTTCACTTTATCACCACAATAAATGTATTTGCACATGATCTGTAACTCTAAATGATGGACAGTAGCAAGAGCAAGCCACGTAATACATACTAAAACATTGCAGAGTTAAAATAAAAGTGCTGTCCCATTGTCCAGGACAAGTAGATTTTCCTTCTGTGCAAGTAACTTTCTTTCTCACTTGCCTGGTGGGCAATGAATCAGGCAAATCACTTGCCAATTAAATCTTTAAAAGAACAACGAAGTTTTGCCCAGGGCAAGCAAAATATGAAATCTACTTGCCCCATGGGCAAGCTGGAATTCAAGCTTTTTTTAGCCCTGCAAAGTCGTTATTTCATCATTGTGCAGTGGTGATCATCAGTAGAAACAAAAATCCTTAAAATTTGACAGGACTGGAGTTCAACCACATGTCCAATACTGAGAATTACAAGAGCACAAAATGTTTCCAAACACTAGGACATCATTTCATTATGTGAATTTAAGGTTAGGATCAAAGAATTAGTGGTTAGCAGGTAGGGTTAGCTTATTTAAGAGTGTCCTACACTTTTAATTAAGTGTTTCTGGATGTGGTACATGCTGATTCAGTCTGCACTGGTCAATGAAAATGATGAAATCAATATAAGAAAAGGCCAATTTACTACATGGCCAAAGTGATTCATACATTGTAGTTACTCCTCGCAATTCACTCTGAACCTGTATAACTATTAGTTGATTAACGTTTCAATGTTCTGTCAGTTAACAGTTATTAGATCTTTTTAATTTTAGTTAAAAGTAATTGTGTTAAAAATTACTGGTTATGTTCCCAGTGATATAAATACCTGGTCTAATATCATAAGCAACTGCTGTTGCAGGCCCCTTATAGCTAGGTGGTCGACCATTTACTGCCGCCTTTGGAGATGGAGATGACTGACTAGCACGGAGTGATTCTGCACTTATTCGTTTGGCTGGAATGATAACAATAAAGTAAATGGTCACCAACAACCCTGTTTAGGCATTTTTGAAAACCCTTAAAGGACAAGCAAATCATTATTAAATAAGAAGGTGAAATCAAGATGCAGAAAAAGACAATAATGAGAACCTCCTCTAGGGTAGGCACCCTTAAGACAAATTCTGGTTTAATAGTTTACTTTAAGTTTTTGCCGACAGCTTTCCCTTATCAAGTGAAAGGACTCGCATTTAGTGCTATGGACAATTATTGATTCAAACTACCAAAGCATTAAAATTACAAGTTTACAACTTTGTTCTGCAGTTTGCATTTTGATTAACAACTGCATAACCAAATTGATGATGTTGCAGCAGACTTTTGAACTGAATGAACTTCAGAAACTGTTTGTCAACATCTTTGTGAAATGCACAGTAAATGCACTCCTAAAAGGGCTAACACTTCTTCACGGTTGTTCAGCGTGATAAAAAAAAAATGGAAGGTTTGAGAAAAACCACATTACAGTAGTGGGGTTGGGTGCCTCAGCTGTTGCTTAATAAAAAATATAGCAAACTTTTTCTACATTTGGTAATCTTTTAGTAACACATAATCTTTTAGTAATAGTAATGTATGATTGACTTTAAGCTTTTTTATTTGCTATTGGAATGCAGAGGGGCTAGTTGCTATGCCAACTAAGTGACATGGTAATTTAAATAAATACAATAACACATTGTGATACAGCTTAACTCATGGCATTAATTTTCAGTTTCCAAGCTTTGAAAATGGTAACTCTTTAATACTGTTAATTACATGTTCTATAATAATAATGGACTTGATAGTTATAAACTAAGCTTTTTAGTTTATAAAACAAAGAACATTTTGCCCTGGTTTTTTACGAGGATTGGTTATGCAAATTGCCATTTTATATTATTTTTACCAGACCTCATACCATGCTCCAAAACAGATAAATTTTAAAATTCACTTCTTGTTGACAATAAAAACAATTACTAGGTAATTCATTTCTTACAACAGCACTTTAAGGTACATGTATTTTTTTGAGAAGACTTCTGCTTTTGACAGGAAATGCAGTTTATTTTCCTTTACACAAGCATTATCCTCTCTTGAATTTCAACCATGATGAGCAAGTTTGTAAACTAACAAGGTTTAAGAAACCACAAGCATCACCAAACAAAAGATGTGAAACAAAACATTTATGTGCTGATAAGAGCAAGTTCCATAGCTCTGCTTCTTTGCAATGTCCTTCTGATCTTATTTTAAATAATTCCAAATGTTAAAAATCAAAAATATGCCAGCAATGAGTGATATTCAAGGATTCTGGAAGAGGGTTCACAGGTATGGGCAACAAATGGCTTGAAAATTTGAAAGGACTATTTTTTGTCGTCACATCAGGGGGTTGAGCCTTTGTTTTGAATTGCATTAAACTGAATTTAACATTAAAAACGTTAAATTAACGGAGTAAACTGCAACATGCAAGACCACAAGTTGTCAATGCTTGATGATAATATTTTTGGCAGACTATAAAATGACAATATTACATAAATCTCAAATTGTCCCTTTCGATTATAATAATTGGCACCACCTTTAGAATTTTCCTTTGCAATCACGTTTTAGCATTAGAATGTTGTTTCTGCTCCCAGTTACAATTGTGTCCAAATAAGGAGGGACTGTATGCTAGCTTACAACATTATAGCAATTTACAAGGAACATATTGATTTCAATTTAACACAGGTGCAAGTAAGGTAGAAAGGCAATTGACAACAACAGAGAACAGCTGCATTTTGAGCCAAGAAATCCATTTCTTTGAGCAAAGATTATTTACATGCAAAAGAAACTTTGCCCATAAACTGCAAAATTTAATCGTGGATTGTAAAATAATGGCAAAATATTATTTGTTCTGGGGTAAAATGAGCAAACAATTCATTTCCTTTTGGTACTGTCTTGTAAATTTAACGCGCAAGTTGTAATAGTCTTGATTGAACACGAAGGACCACACGCTTTCATATTTCATCTAGTTTATATTTTTATACTCGGTGATATTTTAAAAATAAGAGTCTGAGACATTTTCGATTGCTCAAAGTTTAAATCAAGTTCCACGGAACAGACAATGTATATCATAAATCAAAGAAATCCAGCACAATACTAAATATGGATTAAATATGACCTCGAATATCTTCCGAAATAATGAACGAAAGAATTAACTCCATAAAAATTCTCTATTTTAAATCGTTAGCCATTAAAATATATAGGCCTACCGAATGAATTTTTACGACTTACCTGGTTGATCCGAAGAGTAAGGCAGAGGGTTACTTAGATTTTCCAATAAACTGTCTAACTCGGAGAGGTTCTGGCCCAAACTCGATGAAGGGGCAGGTGGAGGGAACAAGACATCGTCTTTGGGGTTGGATCCTAGAGGATCGAAGGCTTCGAATGCTGGAGGCGGAGGTAGAGGTGGTGGAATATCAGGGGAGTCTCGTCCATTTGCCGTTGGTCTTCCTCTTGGTTCTGTAGGCGACGCAGAAACAGTCGGACTTGTCGCTTGAAGATCGGCCAACAACGCATCTAAAAATTCAATATTTTGCTTCAGTTTTTCTTCGACAGAGGGTTTCCTCGTTTTACCCGGCATAGTATTTTCAGTTTTACAGTTTTCTCCGCCAGATCTCGAGATCGATCGCGTCCAAAAGTTTTTCACTTCGTTCTGGGTTTTAAAAATTCATTCAGTCCGAACCACGATACCGCGTGTCGCTGAATGACATATGTAACAACATGCTGTCGGATGTATGGCCCATCATTTGCCTCACCAAAGCACAATAAAATAACACAACGCGCTATAAATTATTCACAAGTATATTGACATGTGTTTTTGAACACGAAAACCTCGTACGGAGTTCAATTTCCTTGCGGGAGTTTTGCGCTTGAGGCCCGCGCGTCAAACACTCGAAAACCCGCAAAACAACTGCAAGCTACCATCGCACAGAGGAAAATATTAAATATGCTGAATCACTAATGAAACGAAGACGTCCAAGTGTGAGGTCCATTCAAATTCGCTACTTTGTAATCGTGAGGATTGGAATCTGCGAGTTTATTTTCACAGGGAAATCGGCCGAGATCGGAATGCAGATATGAAAGTTGCTCATGTCGGAACGAAATGCAAGACCTAGTACCTGAACTCTGACTGTCAATAATTTCAAATCAGCTGAAACAAGTACACAAACAATAAAATAAAGCCGGCACGTTCCAACACAAGATTAACGTAGTAAGTGTGATCTGAATTTGAGTCATTCCAGGCTTATTACAACTCTGTGACTTCGTTCTCGCCAAATTGCGATGCTCTTTTCAAGGCAACGTGACTGAATGGTCCTGCATTCCATTACTACCTTTGCAATAAAAATTCCTAGGCTGTTTACTGAACATTGGAAACAGGTTAACTTGCGAAATCTCTACGCTGGTTTTCAAGATCAGAATGTCAAATAAAAACAAGTTTCCATTTCCCGCAAGACGCAAAGATTTTCGCAAGAACGACCACAGATTGGGAAAGACCACAACACCAATTGAGCTTAATTAACTACATATTCGAACAGAAATCAAACATACCCAAATCTTCCATGGCAACTTGCAGGACAATTTCAGATATCCACTTGCTAATTCGCCGTTCTTGTTAAATTGTCAAACTAACGGACTACTACGGTCTAAAACTCAGACGAATACGTTTACAAATCAGTGAACCCTTCAGCTTCTTACGGAGTCTGACAAATTCGTAATACGTCGGACTGGTTCGGAATGAGTCGGGTGTTTATTTCTGTCAATCATCCAAACAACTTCGTGAATAGTTCGCATACCTCTTGCATACGAATGTCAAATATGGACAACACCGGAAGTAAAGTTGGGTGTTAACCGGTGAATGAGCATGACGTAAAGATCAAGGGTCACGTAAGAGGCTTTTAATTTAATTGTCCAATTACGACTAAATGCGTCGGTTTGGAACGTAAGTTGAAGGGTAGATTGGTGAAGAAAGGCATAGATTTGTGAACGGATCTTGCTCTGACCTCAAGATCAGACACAACAAAATCCGATTATAGCCAAACAAACTCTTAAATTTCGCTCTAAGCCTCTAAGCACCTAAGGAATTAATTAACCCTTTGGAAAAAAACCTTATCCGAGAAATACTATGTTCTGAAAAGTGAAACGACAGAAAAAAAAAAAAC